CTACAGTCCACCCTAAGGACTGGAGCTTAAACTGCATTTCAGCACTGAGAAAAAAAAAAAAAATTATCTTTGCTTCCAGCATGTATGTATAATAAATGGCCGGTGCATGTCCAAGCTGGGCTAACCAAGAGGTTCAATTTATTCACCAGCTACGTAGATTCACCATTTCTGCCCTTCCCTGCCGCTCTTATTCAGCCACTGGGAACAAGGAGCTCACCTAGTGCTTCCAGGTATGGAGGAGCATGTAACTCACTCCCCTTCCTCATCTGACAGCACTGGTACTTCCAGGTATGGAGGAGCATGTGACTCACTCCCCTTCCTCATCTGACAGCACCAGTACTTGCAGGTATGGAGGAGCATGTGACTCACTCCCCTTCCTCATCTGACAGCACCGGTACTTCCAGGTATGGAGGAGCACGTGACTCACTCCCCTTCCTCATCTGACAGCACCAGTACTTGCAGGTATGGAGGAGCATGTGACTCACTCCCCTTCCTCATCTGACAACACCAGTGCTTCCAGGTATGGAGGAACATGTGACTCACTCCTCTTCCTCATCTGACAGCACCAGTACTTCCAGGTATGGAGGAGCATGTGACTCACTCCCCTTCCTCATCTGACAACACCAGTGCTTCCAGGTATGGAGGAACATGTGACTCACTCCCCTTCCTCATCTGACAGCACCAGTACTTGCAGGTATGGAGGAGCATGTGACTCACTCCCCTTCCTCATCTGACAGCACCAGTGCTTCCAGGTATTGAGGAACATGTGACTCACTCCCCTTCCTCATCTGACAGCACCAGTGCTTCGCAATTGGCCCGGCGCTATCACATGAGGTTGGGGAGACAGTCCTACACCTTGTATAAACTACAACTAAAGAGACTCTAGGGGTTGATTTACTATGTATTTAAAGGCAATAAGACTGTGCACTTTGCAAGTGCAGTTGCTCCAGAGCTTAGTAAATGAGATGATGCTTCACTTTGCAAAGTATACCCAATGACATGCAAGGAAAAAAAAAAAATCACCATTTTTGCTGGCACAACATATATTGCAGGGTCTCCAGACTTTCTAAACAAGGCCCAGTGTATTGTCCTTCAGACTTTAGGAGGGAACAGACTGCGGCCATTGGGAATAGAAATTGTCCTGGCATCTTTGGTTTTAAAGGAAGGAATAGCACCCCATTGTTGGTGTCAGTGGGAGGAATAGTGCCCTATTGCTGGCGTCAATGGGAGGAATAGTGCCCCCATCGCTGGCGTCAGTGGGAGGAACAGTGCCCCATCTCTGGTGTTGGTGGGAGGAACAGTGCCCCATCATTGGTGTCAGTGGGAGGAATAGTGCCCCATCGCTGGCGTCAGTAGGAGAAATAGTGCCCAATCGCTGGCATCAGTGGGAGGAATAGTGCCCCATCGCTGGCATCAGTGGGAGGAATAGTGCCCCATCGCTGGCGTCAGTAGGAGAAATAGTGCCCCATCGCTGGCATCAGTGGGAGGAATAGTGCCCCATCGTGCGTCAGTGGGAGGAATAGTGCCCCATCGCTGGCGTCAGTAGGAGAAATAGTGCCCCATCGCTGGCATCAGTGGGAGGAATAGTGCCCCATCGCTGGCATCAGTGGGAGGAATAGTGCCCCATCGCTGGCATCAGTGGGAGGAATAGTGCCCCATCGCTGGCATAGTGGGAGGAATAGTGCCCCATCGCTGGATCATAGAATAGTGCCCCATCGCTGGCATCAGTGGGAGGAATAGTGCCCCATAATTGGTGTCAGTGGGAGAAATAGTGCCTCATCATTTGCGTCAGAAGGGAGGAATAGTGCCCCATTGCTGGCATCAGTGGGAGGAATAGTGGCCTATCACTGGTGTCAGTGGGAGGAATAGTGCCCCATTATTGGGGTCGGTTTGAGGAATAGTGTCCCATTGCTAACATCAATGGGAGAAATGATACCCTATTGATGTCAGTAGCAGGAATTATGCCTCATTGTTGGTGTCAGTGGGAGGTAACATGCCCCAGGGGCCAGATAAAGGCAAGTAAGGGGCAGCAGTTTAAAGACCACTGATAAATACTATAACACCAGCTGTAGTCACAGGACATGTTTGTGGACAGATGAAAAAACTGAGTGTCAAAAACACAATTGTATTTCATTCCATTTACAACGTACACAGATTTCATATACAGGTCACATGTAGGCTCGACGCGTTTCAGGAATCCTTCTTCAGGAGAACATGTGAAAAAATCAATACATTGGAGCCCACTCTTGTTTTTTGTGGAAATATCAAAAGATATAATTGACTGGAATTTACACATATGTTTCCCAAGGAGGTGCAACTAAAAACGCCAAGAGGGAGCCACTGCCTCTCAGGTAGAAACCTCCAGAAGTAGCCAAGAAATAACCAGCAGTCTTGCAAACACAATCTTCAAAAAGTGGATCAAACCCTCAGTGGTGCAGCTATAAAGTCACAGCATGAAGAGGTCACCAATATAATCAAAAGGTCAATTAAAGGTTTGTATATTCAAACGCTCACGCTCCCACAGAAAGGACAGAGGTTGTAAATTCCAGGCAGTTATATCTTTTATTATTTCACAAAAACAAGAGTGGGTTCCATTGTATTGATTCACATGTGCTCCTGAGGAAGGATTCCCGAAACGCGTCGAAACGCATCAAGCCCACATGTGAACTGTATATGGAATGTATTCACACACACACATGTGTGTGTATGTATGTATGTATAGTATATATGTGTGTGTGTATATGTATATATGTGTATATGTGTATATGCATGTATGTATGTATATATGTATGTATATATATGGTATAGGGACATGGACATATAGCACACACACTAAGCAATGATGGTAGTTCAGCTCTGTTAGTTTTATGAGGGTCATCACCCTATGTAGTAGCAATAGCCTTCTTTCTCTTTTTTTTTGTTATATTCATTCATCAATTTTTTGGATGTTCATTTGGTTTATTTTTGAGTCAGGTATACCAATATATAGTCACAAAATAAATGTACACCCAAGTGCAGGTTATAAGGTTGTTCTATAGCACACATATCTGGGTTTCCAAATGCGTTTTGTTTGCACATCATTGAATGATGGAAACCAGCAGAACTTTTCCTCATTTACTAAGCTCTGAAGCAACCGCACTTGCAAAGTGCACAGTCTATTTGCCTTTAGTAAATCAACCCCTACGTTCACACTAGGCTTACTTTCCTAGCTCCCAATGGCCGAAAGGAGCAGTAGTGAGGCAAAAGAAAGGAGAGTATGTGCTGCTGGAGCAGGCAGCATCAAAGTGAAACCTGTCGTTTTCCTCATTTACTAAGCTCTGAAGCAACCGCACTTGCAAAGTGCACAGTCTATTTGCCTTTAGTAAATCAACCCTTACGTTCACACTAGGCTTACTTTCCTAGCTCCCAATGGCGAAAGGAGCAGTAGTGAGGCAAAAGGAAGGAGAGTATGTGCTGCTGGAGCGGGCAGCATCAAAGTGAACCTGTCGTTTTGCTCTGTGTCACAAAGCACTGGCTTTCTTGAAGACTCTCAAGGCAGGTACAAATACAGGAGCCATACCATACGAGCAAAAGCCAATTTTACAGGAAACGGTCATGAGAGATAGATGTGGGCTTCTAAACATACTAACTGCCTGGCAGTCTCTGCCTTCAATATTTTCGGTGTCACAGACCTGAAACAAGTATGCAGCAGGTGAAGTCAGAACTCATGAGCAGCATACTTCTAACAGACCAGTGATTTAATATATTGAAGTTAACGGATTAGCATGACCGCTAGGCTCCAGCATTGATAGACGGAGGTACACAACGGCTGATTATTTATAGGCTCACTTCACAAAGCTAATAAACCAGGAAAAGGTTCAAGTGACAGTTATTTTCAGCCGAGTCCAATAAGATTTGGAAATGACAGTTGCGTGGTAAAAAGATCCTGATCCTTATGTGAAAGATTATCTTTAGAGCGATGAAGAACATAGGTTTCCACTGATATAAATGACATTTATATCAGATATAGATTTTCAGGCACATTGGCAACCTGGGATTTGTCCAGCACTGGTACAGTCACCACAAATTCATTCTACTGCAGGTCTGTACCAATCCCAAGAGCCAGCGTCTATTCCCTTGATGTTGATGAAAGCACATTTTCCCAAGTGCCCCAAAAAAAAATCCCTGATGGCCGCTGGCCATGCTGTCTGCCTTCCAGATTCTACACATAATTATTAATCACCGTTTTACGATGCCTTCCATGTGATCAGACAATGTGAGGTGCCCATTTCATAATTAATCCTAACAAGGGCGAGTAACCAAATGTTAATCCCGTCCCCCCCCAAAAAAACTGCGTCCAGCACTGTAACCACCTTGACATGGCAGCCATACACAACGGTAAACAAGACAATTATGGTGTGGGGGTGCATGAAAAGCCTCTTAGAGAAAAAGCTTTAAAAGCAAAATAATACCATAAAAAAAACAAAAAAAAAAACAAAAAAAAGAAGAGCTATGCTAGTTGAAATCTGAAATGGAGGCAAAATAAGGGAACACAGTATTAAGAGAAATTAAAATGCATCCCAGAGTGTATAAACACATAGTTAGCCCCCATATTGTCCAGGAGCAAAAACAAAAATAATAACAGTTGGGGGGTCAGAGCGCAGCGAAACGCTCCTAGCCCTTTAACGTCAGAATTCCAAAGTCCTCCAGAAGAGAGCATGGGTGCAAGTGTTGATAACTTGGCTCCACCCCGATAAGTTAAGGTTAAGGTTCCGGCAGGGAAACGCCTGCAAGGAGGGCAAGTCTATTATGCTCCCTGCTCCTCACAGGATACGGGAGACAGAAGGCTCAGTCCGGCCACATGGCAAAGGAGAGAAGGGTGACAACACACACGACGTGGGGGAGGTCACGAATCCTCCGCTCTCACTCCCTCCCCCACCAGTGTCTCTCATGCGATGAGGAAAAGACGAGAGTGGCTCCAGGACATGTACTTATTTTTTTTATACAATCTGTAAAGTGTATTAAGACTGCTTCAGACGCTTGCGAGGAGGGCCCAGGAAAGGGCATTGGGCAGAGGCCAGGGAACGGTAAGCTTCTGCCACAAGGTGTGGATGAGACACCACCATGGATTTCCAACCAGACGTTTCCATCACATCAGAGGCGTGGCTGTAGGTAAAGGAGAGAAGACAACATGAGAAGACATCAATGGTGCTAGATGAAAAGCTGATTAAAGAAGAACTGTGACCAGCCTATGGACATTCAAATATTTTACAGATTTATTTTTTTAATAACAAACATGTTATGCTTACCTGCTCTGTGTAATGGTTTTGCACTGAGCAACCCCAATCCTTCTCTTCTCATGCTCCCCAGCTGCACTACTGGCTCCTCCCCCCTGCCGGGTGCCCCCATAGCGAGCCGGTTTCTATGGGGGCACTCGTACGTGCTCGCTCGCTCGCTCTCAAACTGGCTGTGTGTGTCCATAGACACAGAGCGCTGCTAGGTCCCACACTCTCCTCCTTGGCTCCCGTTGCTGCGAGCCAGTTGATACGGAAGCACTCGTACGTGCTCGCTCCCAAACTGGCTCTGTGTCCATAGACACATAGAGCACTGCTAGGCCCCACACTCACCTCCATGGCTCCAACTGCTGAAAGCCGGTTGCTATGGGGGCACTCGTGCGTGCTCCCTCCCAAACTGGCTCTGTGTGTCCATAGACACAGAGCGCTGTTAGGCTCCTCACCCACCTCCTTGGCTCCTGCGAGCCAGTTGCTATGGGGGCACTCGTGCGTGCTTGTCCCAAACTGGCTGTGTGTGTCCATAGACACAGAGCGCTGCTAGGCCCCGCACTCTCCTCCTTGGCTCCCGCTGCTGCGAGCTGGTTGCTATGGGGACACTTGTGCTTGCTCGCTCCCAAACTGCCTCTGTGTGTCCATAGACACAGAGCGCTGATAGGCTGTGCTGTCTCGTGTATTGTCTCCCATTATAATGTACAGCGCTGAGAAAACTGTTGGCGCTATATAAATACTGTATAATAATAATAATAGGCCCCGCATCCTCCTCCTTGGCTCCTGCAAGCTGGTTGCTATGGGGGCACTCGTGCTTGCTCGCTCCCAAACTGGCTCTGTGTGTCCATAGACACAGAGCGCTGTTAGGCCCCGCACTCTCCTCCTTGGCTCCCGCTGCTGTGTTTGAGCCAATGGGGAGGAGAGCCGAAAGAGCCTCTGCTCTTGTGTACATTGCTGGATTGAGATTGGGCTCAGGGAAATATTGGGGGGGGGGGGGGGAGCAGCACACTGAAGTTTTTTTTACCTTAATGCAGAGAAATCGTAAAGTTTTTGAACCACTTTAACAAGCAGTAATTGTGCTTTAAAACACGTTTTCACTAACCTCTGTAACTGCAGGTACAGCACTGCAATTCATCCTCAAAATTCACAGCAGACACAACTGCAATTTTTTTTTCAGCTTAGATGCCCCTGCTCCCCATGCCAGCACTGGCTTGGCAACCTACCAATCTCCAACGTAAAATACAGAAGAGGGAGAGCAGAGTGCTGAAGCCTGACTTTAAAGCTGAACTCCTGGATCCCTAGTTCCCTTTACTCATGCACACAAACAAGGAATTCATTTTTGATTTTCTCCCTTGTGACATCAGCTCCATGTGTAAAAAAAAAAAAAGTACTATCCATGTGCACGTAGGTTAGGGTCTGTGCATTACCACCCCACATCCATGGGGATATGGGTACCACATTTCCCATTATTGCCATTTACACAGCTCTGCCTGCATACACACTTACCACATCACAGCTGTGCAACTGGCTCAACACGAAGCTGGCCACCAAAAAACAGAACATGTCCACCTACTTATAGACACTTGTGGAATTTGAGATGTACAGGGTGGCTGATGTTTTTAGAACAGGTAAGTACACGGTAAGTGGTGATGAGAGGGGAATGAGCTAGGCGCCCCCACCCACCCCACTGGAATGCCAATTCAGTCACAATGAAGAAGTGGACATTACAACATCGTCTGTTGGCCCGAGTGATGGACAATTTCAAGCGAAGGATTGAAAGCTGCATTCAAGAGGATGGACATCATCTAAATGACATTATTTTTCATACATGAATAAGTAACTCGAATGGCAGGTCTTGACATCTGTTTTTGTAAAAATAAATTTTGAGCTGAAAATCTACAGAGTACTCTTTTTTTTCACTCCTGACAGGAGTGAAGGTGACTCCTGACAGTCACCCTGTACAACATTTACAACAGTCTACAACATTTTCATCCAAATCGCTTTGCTTTCATACCAGTCCACAGAGAGAAGCACATTCTTCTTTTCCTTCTGTAAACTACACAGAGGAGGAAACACCATAGGAAGAAAATATCAGTAAACAGAAGCTGCCCCAATAAGGACACATGTTTGTAGGGAAGCATTAGAAAAATGGATCTTAAAAATTCAGATCTTTCTTGAACCAGGCAAGAACATACCTGGCTGCAGTTTAGACTTTGTGAACTTTGAGGATGAATTTCTGCACAGTGTCTGCAGTTACTGAGATCAGTAAGGGCCCATGGAAAAGATTATTATTAGACAGGATTTATATAGCACCGGCAGTTTGCTCAGCGCTTTAAATTATGGTGGGAGACAGTACAGTAACAATGCAATTCAATACAAGAGGGGTTCGAGGGCCCTACTCCTTGGAGCTTACAATCTAGGAGGGAGGGGATAGTGGTACAAGAGGTAGTAACTGTGGGGAATGGACTGGTTGGAAGAGTAGAAGATTTCAGTATTAGCTGAGGGTGGGGTAGGCTTCCCTGAAGAGATAGGTTTTCAGAGTGAGCCTAAAAGTGAGCAGAGTGGGCGATAGTCTGATGGATTGGGGTAGGGAGTTCCAGAGGATGGGGGAAGCCGTGGAGAAGTCCTGGAGACGAGCATGGGAGGAGGAGACAAGGGAGCTAGAGAGCAGAGAGTACGGTTTGGGTGATATTTGGAGACAAGATCGGTGATGTAATTTGGGGCAAAAGATAAAGGTTTGTTTCACTGCCGCACGCTACTAAAGGCTGAGTAATGCACAAGTGGAAGTGCTGCAAATATGCTCAGAGATGCAACACATACACTGGACCCAGAGCAGAAATGCAGCATTGCAGGCTTTGAACACTGCGTGGTGCTGAGCAACGCTTGGCAGTAAAATGAATTGCTATTATTGGCCAACCAATGGTACAGGTAACCAACGGTTTTGCACAGCCTTTCTCAACCAGGGTGCGCCTTGAGGTTTCTTCAGGGGTGCCTTAGCAAAATGTCTAAAAATTGCCCAAAACTTGATTAACAAGTCAGCGGGTTGAACAAGCCTGCCTTTTAGTTTCATTGTGCACCATTACGACATTCTAGCCTTTAGAATGGGGTGCCTCAAGACTGTCCACAATTTTAAAGGGTGTCTCGGGACTGTCCATAATTTTAAAGGGTGTCTCGGGACTGTCCATAATTTTAAAGGGTGTCTCGGGACTGTCCATAATTTTAGATGGTGCCTCGGGACTGTCCATAATTTTAAAGGGTGTCTCGGGACTGTCCATAATTTTAAAGGGTGTCTCGGGACTGTGCATAATTTTTAAGGGTGCCTAGACTGAAAAAAGGTTGAGAAACTCTGGTTTAGCATCACGGCTCCCTGCATATTGGACAGATGCAATGATACTGAATCACCATCCAATAACCAGGCTAGAGGTGCATAAGCAATCTGCAATGCTGACGTATGAAATAAATGCATTTCCTTAGCTGTCTAAACACCAACAATTTGAATTTCAGTTTACCAAAATCAAAAAAAAAAAAAAAAAAAAAAAAAAAAAAAAACTAAAAAAACACCTTTCTGAATATTAACCTATATTGACAATAATATTTGCATTTAGCTAATAACATGCACACAAATATTTGAAGTGAAAACAATAATGTAAGTACGGTCTATATCCTACAAAGGACACTCACTAGTTGATGAAGTCCACGGCTTGTGTTTTAAGTTGGTCTGCGCTGTGTAAATCAGCCAGAATGAGGATCTCAGCGGCGTTCTCCACAGACAGATTGCTGCACAACGCTTCTTCACACATCACCTTCAGACGTTCCAGGGCGTACTGCAGAGAGAAGCAGAAGGTCTGGCTGAGAAAATATCAATTTCTTCATGGGTGCTGTTCTATCAAGGTTAATGTATTCTAACTTATTTACATAGAACATTTGATTACAATTAATGAAGGATCTGAGCAACAAGTAATATCAGCCCATAACCAGTACAGGAAACGGCATCCTGCATTTTAAGAGAGCAAAAAAAAAAAAAACAAAAAAAAAAACTTGATTATCTAACTAGCGCCTTTTCTTTTAAGGGTATTCTGGAGATCTAATGCTTTTTAAAGTGATACTAAAGGCATTTTTTTTTGTTAAATAACAAACATGGTATACTTACCTGCTCTGTGTAATGGTTTTGCACAGAGCCTCTCCCGATCCGGAGCTCCTGGCCCCTCCCTCCTTCTTAGTGCCCCCAGAGCAAATTCACTCCCGAGCCACTGCTCTGCATGTCCATTCATGCACAGCTCAATCCTGCCCCGCCCCCTTTTTTCCTCATTGGCTCACTGGCTGTGCTTGACAGCAGTGGGAGCCAATGGTTCCTGCAACCGTCTTAGCCAATGAGGGGTGAAAGTCCTGAGGCTCTCATAGACATTGCTGGATCGTGATGGGGCTGTGCAACAGCCCCCGCTTCCCCCCTAACACTTACTAGGGGAGAAGCAGGGGGATGCTGTACACAGAAGGTTTTTTATCTTCATGCATAGAATGCATGAAGGTAAAAAAAACCTTGAGCCTTTATAACCACTCTGATGGTGGCAGCACAGTGGTTAAATGGTTAGCACTTTCGCCTGGCAGCACTAGGAGTCGTTGGTTCGAATCCCAACCACGGCACCACCTGCCTGGAGTTTGCATGTTCTCCCTGTGCCTGCGTGGGTTTCCTCCGGGTACTCCGGTTTCCTCCCACACTCCAAAGACATGCTTGTAGGTTAATTGGATCCTGTCTAAACTGGCTCTAGTATGTGTATGTATGAATGTAAGTTAGGGACCTTAGATTGTACGCCCCTTGAGGGTTAGGGACTGATGTGAATGTACAATATATATGTAAAGTACTGCATAAATTGACGGCGCTATATAAGTACCGGAAATAAATAATAAATGTATAAAAAGTATTTTTGTTGCTCTCTCCCTATTTTCTATAACTTCCCCTCCCCATGACCCCCTAACTGTAGTCAAGGAAGTGAGAGGAAACCTCCATACTGAGCAATCAGACACCAATAAAAGCCATTCAAAGGTTCTAACCCTTCTCCCTTCTCTCAGCATCATCAATAATCAGATTTGGTTATTAGCCGAGGGCAGGATAGGCTTCCCTGAAGAGCTAGGTTTTCAGAGATCACCTAAAAGTGAGTAGAGTAGGCAATAGTTAGATAGATTGGGGTAGAGAATTCCAGAGGATGGGGGAGGCTCTGGAGAAGTCCTGGAGATGAGCATGGGAGGAGGAGACAAGGGATCTAGAGAGTAGGAGGTCATTCAAGGAGCAGAGAGGACGGTTTGGGTGATATTTGGAGACAAGATTGGTGATGTAATTGGGGGCAGAGTTATAAATGGCTTTATATGTTATTGAATTTTATCCGTTGAGCAATGGGAAGCCAGTGGAGGGATTGGCAGAGAGGGGTGGCAGATACAGAACGGTTAATAAGGTGGATGAGTCTGGCAGCAGCATTCATGATAGACTGAAGAGGGGATAGCCTGCGATAAGGTCGGCCAATGAGGAGGGAGTTACAATAGTCAAGGTGAGATATAACAAGGGAGTGAATAAGTTGCTTAGTGGTTTCCGAGGTTAGGAACGGGCGTATCGTGGAGATGTTGCGGAGGTGAAGTCTACAAGATTTGGACAGCGACTGGATTTGGGGGGGAAAGGACAGATGGGAGTCTAGGATTACACCTAGTACCCTGGCATGAGAGGAGGGACTGATGGTTGTATTATTGGTCTTGATGGAGAAGTCGGGGGAGGGGGCACGGGCTGGAGGGAATATTATGAGCTCAGTTTTAGAAAGATTGAGTTTGAGGAAGTGGAGTGACATCCATGCCGATATGTCACTTAGTAGGTTAGTAATGCGGGAACTGACCCTTTGCTGGCACAAAGAGAATGAGCGCAAGACAGAAGATGGCAGCTTTGTGGCTGCAATACCCATTTTCTATTGTAACTCATTTTCAAGCTGGGTTACTCGTGTCTTTTTATTTTTATAGCATTTGTTTGCTTTAAGGGAAGGGATCTGCAATAAACTTCACACATTCTCAGCTGATTCACGTAAGAAAAATGTTTGTCTAGTTCAATTTAATCACTGTCTCTTCGAATATATCTCTACTTTATAGCGGGCACGCCACATCCCTGTGGCTTTCTTAAATCGGCTGAAAGTCTTTTCCTCAAAGAGCTGTAATTACTACAACTTTGTTGCATTATTGACACGGCAGCTAAACCTGTCTGTAGTTGAATTACACTGCTTTTTACGATCCCTCCTAGTATTTATAACACTGTGGCATCTTACCAGTGCATCAAAGGACTAACGGCACTCACTTTATTGCTCTATGCTGTAAGATCAATCAACTACTTACTAAGTGAGATATAGACGCCAATAATAGGAGGCAGGTAGACCACTTAACTACTGTCTGTTATTGCCGCTTGTTTACTATATCACAGATGTTTAACGTGTACCTAAAATTGAATAAAACACAAAATGCTGTGAGAAGGAAAGACAGGGATGGCAGACGCTGGTTCTTCTGAAGGTTTGGTGTATCAAAGAAGGATCTGGTCTAAGCGTAGTCACCTAAAGCTATTCCCACTGTGGCCGAACAGCACATACGCAGTCTTGAAACTCTAGAACATTGGTATCAAACAACCACAGGTGGTGACCCTCAGGAACTTTTTTTGCATCTTCAAATCCCAGTAGCCAACACTGGAAGTGGGAGCATTCATTTGAAAGAGGACAGTAATGGCATGGATTTCTAGCAGTCTACTGAAACATGTCTCTGGTGTCCAACTGGTAGCATGACCCAAGTCTCCAACTTTCTAAAGAGGAGTTAAACTCTGCGATAACCTTTCAGTGGTCTGATGTCGCTCACCAGAACTGGCATCTTCCACCCGGCTTTTTCTGGGTGCTGGGCTGTCGGTCGGCACTCCTGGCATCTCCCCCCAGCAGACTGCCCCCATAGTAATCCGTTTGCTAGGGGAGCACTCGTGCATGCTCGCCCCCATGCCGGCTCTGTGTGTCCACTAACACGCACAACTGGCTCTGGCTCGGCTCCACCATCCCGCTCACTGGCTGAGATTGACAATGGCGCCTGCTGCAATCTTTGAGCCAATGAGAAGGGAGAGAGCTGCTGCTCTCGTGCACATCACTTTATCAATCCTCTCAGTGGCTGCCAAGAGAAGTGCAGGATTTGGTGAAGGAGTTCTGTCCCCCTCTCTGCTGCTGACTGCAGAGATGGGAAGAGCCGGGTCAGTGGTTATAGGGGGCAGACACAAGTCTCTCAGTGGCTGCCAAGAGAAGTGCAGGATAGCGAAGGAGTTCTGTCTCCCTCTCTGCTGCTGACTGCAGAGATGAGAAGAGGTGGGTGAGTAGGTATAGAGGCAGACACAAACCTCTCCATGGCTGCTCAAAGAAGCGCAGGAATGGCGAAGGAGCTCTGTCCCCCTCTCTGCTGCTGATTGCAGAGATGGGAAGTGGTGGATGAGTGGGTATGGGGGCAGACACAAGCCTCTCAGTGGCTACCCAGAGAAGCGCAGGATTGGCGAAGGAGTTCTGTCCCCCTCTCTGCTACTGACTGCAGAGATGGGAAGGGCTGGGTCAGTGGTTATAGGGGCAGACACAAACCTCTCCGTGGCTGCTCAAAGAAGCGCAGGAATGGCGAAGGAGCTCTGTCCCCCTCTCTGCTGCTGATTGCAGAGATGGGAAGTGGTGGATGAGTGGGTATGGGGGCAGACACAAGCCTCTCAGTGGCTACCCAGAGAAGCGCAGGATTGGCGAAGGAGTTCTGTCCCCCTCTCTGCTACTGACTGCAGAGATGGGAAGGGCTGGGTCAGTGGTTATAGGGGCAGACACAAACCTCTCCGTGGCTGCTCAAAGAAGCGAAGGAATGGCGAAGGAGCTCTGTCCCCCTCTCTGCTGCTGATTGCAGAGATGGGAAGTGGTGGGGTGAGTAGGTATAGAGGCAGACACAAAACCTCTCCGTGGCTGCTCAAAGAAGCGCAGGAATGGCGAAGGAGCTCTGTCCCCCTCTCTGCTGCTGATTGCAGAGATGGGAATTGGTGGATGAGTGGGTATGGGGGCAGACACAAGCCTCTCAGTGGCTGCCCAGAGAAGCGCAGGATTGGCGAAGGAGTTCTGTCCCCCTCTCTGCTACTGACTGCAGAGAGATGGGAAGTGGTGGGTGAGTAGGTACGGGGGCAGACACAAGCCTCTCCGTGGCTGCCCAGAGAAGCGCAGGATTGGCGAAGGAGCTCTGTTCCCTCTCTGCTGCTGATTGCAGAGATGAGAAGTGGTGGGTGAGTAGGTACGGGGGCAGACACAAACCTCTCCGTGGCTGCCCAGAGAAGTGCAGGATTTGGCGAAGGAGCTCTGTTCCCTCTCTGCTGCTGATTGCAGAGATGAGAAGTGGTGGGTGAGTAGGTACGGGGGCAGACACAAACCTCTCCGTGGCTGCCCAGAGAAGTGCAGGATTTGGCGAAGGAGTTCTGTCCCCCTCTCTGCTACTGACTGCTGAGACAGGTGGGGGCAAAGATGAGGGGTGCCGCAGCTGCAGGAGAGGTGTGAGGACCACACGAAATGGCCTGGAGGGCCTTGTGTTTGACACATATCCCTTAGACATAAACATTTAACCTTTGCAGTGCGGAGGGTTTTTTGTTCCATGCCAGAGTTGGGCTTTAACATTATGTAGTTCACCTAACTTATCTGCATAGGTTTCTCTCAACATAAAACAAAACAAGGGTGATGCCTATTATTATCACTCGCCTCCTAAAAGCATACAAACAAGTCAATTCTTTGGAGTCCTCGCCAGTGCCTTTAGAGTAGTAAAAAACTGCAAGTTCAATGTACTAAGGATATCACTGCATCTAAAAATATCACTGCTTTAAAATGGGAATCATCACCATGGTGCCCTTTATTTTTGATGGCATTCCATCACACGTATACGGTGGCAGCCAACCACACTGCGTCACATGCCATGCTTTGTGGTGTGCTGAGAAAGAATGGGTTAAGCCCATTAGATATTAGACTGTCATGTGTTGCTATATATGAGCTGCAACACACGTTAACACATCGCATGGCAGCCCGAAAATGTGAATGGGTCCAGAAAGTTTTCACCAAATTATCTGCGTTTCCAGTAAAATGGTCCTTTTAAAATCGCTACTGACCAAGTGCCTCAACATTTTTGGCAGTCCTTTGTCAATTAAATGGTTTATATATTGCGATTATCAGCCAGCTTGAGAAATGTCAACATACTTTGAAGTGGGAGGGAAAAAAAACGAGCCTGATAAACATCATTTAAGCTTTGTCATCTTTACTTTCATCATACTGACTCAATATATGGGAAGGAAACAGCAAGTTTAAGCAGCAAATCAAGCAATTAAAAAGCGACAGATATCACTAACTGTACCCCTGAGGGTTCAGCTCAACAAACCAGCTGGGCCGTCAATCCCAAACGGTGAGATTTTGAAGGCAAAATAATGAGGCTAGGAAGAGGAACTTTTTTTTTCCCTTAGAAAAGCTGTTACATATGGGGTTGACTTAAAATATAATGAGCAGATAATGCTCACAAAAAAGACCCAATGGTCAAATCTATGGAACATTGCTTTCCACCAATGAGGAACGGCCAGGCCAGTCCCTTGAGCGCAGCGTCCCCATTAGGGATTATTTTGTAAGTTGCAGTATAATGTACTGCAGTGAGAGGCTATGGTCTGCGTGCTTCACTCCCTCCCTCCCATTCTTGGCTTGTCATCTGACAGTAAGTTATGAAACATTGGATTTGTGCTACTTTGAATAGCAGAAAGAAAGCAGGAGGCAAGCAGGCCCTAATGGGTAAGCTATCAACAGATGTCAGTCTTGTTACCACAGCATCCCTTCCCATGTATACAGAGAGGTCCACCCACAAATACTGTCCCCCAGCACCAAACACCAGCCTCTTCCTGCATGAGCAATTTGGATTTGGCGAAGAAGCTCTGTCCCCCTCTCTGATGCTGAGTGTAGAGATGGGAAGTGGTGGATGAGTGAGTATGGGGGCAGACACAAACCTCTCCGTGGCTGCCCAGAGAAGCGCAGGATTTGGCGAAGGAGCTCTGTCCCCCTCTCTGATGCTGACTGCAGAGATGGGAAGGGGTGGGTGGGTGGGTGAGTGGGTATAGGGGCAGACACGAGCCCCAAATACTGTCCCACAGCAACAAACACAAGCCTCTTCCTACAGGAGTAAGAGGAGTCTCCTACTCAGAAAACCCCACTAGTCACTGGCTGCACAGGACTGCCAATTCTGACATACATGTAAAAATCTACATTTTGTTGCTAGGAAACCCCCAAACATTTTATATATATATATATATATATATATATATATATATATATATATATAAAATTAGCAGAGGCCCTACAGAATAAAATGGGTGTTGCAATTTTGTATGTCACACGGTATTTGCAGAGTGGTTTTCAAACCAACCACTTTAATGCATTTTATTGCCCACAAACACAATATAATACCCAATTTGGTAAAATATAAAAAGGTTACACCGAGTAAATACATACCTACCATCTCACACTTTAAAACTGCCATACCCAAGGCTCCAAATAACGGAACTTAAAATTCTCCACAGGCAGCGCTTTAAATGCCTTTACACGTTACCAGTTTGCTCTGATGTGTGCAAAGATACCTCACAAGTGTGGTGTGATCTCTGTTTACATATGCGTATGCATACACATTGGCACATAAGCACGTGGGGGACACTTTAATTTTCTTTTTTTTTTAAGCTACATTGCTATCACAAGGGACGAACGACATCCCTTGTGACAGCATTGGCTGTGACAGTTCCTCTTTCTGGAGATATCTGAGAGAGCAGGAACCAGTAGCACTGAAAGCTATAAACTGAAGTGTTTTGGTAAAAATTTTTACTGGGGAATGTTTTATTGTGCAAAAACTAAAAATACTGAGGGATTAAAGTGTTGCTAAACCCAGGACCCTGCATTCACTATATCCGGTCTCCCCGGACCCTGCATTCACTATATCCGGTCTCCCAGGCCCTGCATTCACTATATCTGGTCTCCCTGGACCCTGCATTTACTATATCCGGTCTCCCCGGACCCTGCATTCACTATATCCGGGTCTCCCAGGGACCCTGCATTCACTATATCCGGTCTCCCAGGACCCTGCATTCACTATATCCGGTCTCCCAGGACCCTGCATTCACTATATCCGGTCTCCCCGGACCCTGCATTCACTATATCCGGTCTCCCCGGACCCTGCATCCACTATATCCGGTCTCCCCGGACCCTGCATCCACTATATCCGGTCTCCCCGGACCCTGCATCCACTATATCCGGTCTCCCCGGACCCTGCATCCACTATATCGGTCTCCCCGGACCCTGCATCCACTATATCCGGTCTCCCCGGACCCTGCATCCACTATATCCGGTCTCCAGAGAACCCTGCATCCACTATATCCGGTCTCCCCGAACCCTGCATCCACTATATCCGGTCTCCCCGAACCCTGCATCCACTATATCCGGTCTCCCCGAACCCTGCATTCACTATATCCGCTCTCCCCGGACCCTGCATTCACTATATCCGCTCTCCCCGCACCCTGCATTCACTATATCCGCTCTCCCCGGACCCTGCATTCACTATATCCGCTCTCACTATATCCGCCCGCACCCTGCATTCACTATATCCGCTCTCCCCGGACCCTGCATCCACTATATCCGCTCTCCCCGGACCCTGCATCCACTATATCCGTCTCCCCGGACCCTGCATTCACTATATCCGGTCTCCCCGGACCCTGCATCCACTATATCCGGTCTCCCCGGACCCTGCATCCACTATATCCGGTCTCCCCGGACCCTGCATCCACTATATCCGGTCTCCCCGGACCCTGCATTCACTATATCCGGTCCCCGGACCCTGCATTCACTATATCCGGTCTCCCCGGACCCTGCATCCACTATATCCGGTCTCCCCGGACCCTGCATTCACTATATCCGGTCTCCCCGGACCCTGCATTCACTATATCCGGTCTCCCCGGAACCTGCATTCACTATATCCGGTCTCCCCGGAACCTGCATTCACTATATCCGGTCTCCCCGGAACCTGCATTCACTATATCCGGTCTCCCCGGACCCTGCATTCACTATATCTGGTCTCCCCAGACCCTGCATTCACTATATCTGGTCCCCCACAGTACACAGAACATGGAAGTGCAATTATTTTAGTAAATATAAACTACTGAATACCTTTTCTCATTAGCAGTCAGAGCAGTCTTGTGACGTCTATCAGGGTCCAGCCCAGCACTTGTAAAGGAGGAGTTTTCATTCTGCCCTATGAGATTACATAACCCCTGACCCTCTGTCTAGACCAGCAATGGGCAAACTACGGCCCGGCGGACCTTTTAATCCGGCCCGCGGATGTGGCTGTGAGGATGTGTGTAGGCGGGGCAGCGTGACGAACGTGAGGGGAGGGGAGCTAGGCTCCTCTCACAGTCCGCCCTGAAGACCGGAACGGCGCGGGAACACGACGAGAGGAACGCGCGGAGCAAAGGTAAGTGAATTGACACAGGGGGGACTTGGCTTACTACTTACTATACTTACTATAGATGACACATACACATCATTCATCTACTCTTGGTCCGGCCCCCGGGTCCAATATATGAACCCATTGCGGCCCTCAAGTCAAAAAGTTTGCCCACCCCTGGTCTAGACAGTGCTGATTGGCCCTATGCTGATCACATGCATCCTCCCAAGAAAAAGAAAAAACTCTCTAGCCGTACACACCAAACTGAGTATGTACAGTGTCCCCAAAGCTGTGTTCTATCAGGAGATTAAATGGGGAACATGGAAGAAGGGGAAAAAAAAGAAGACAGGATCAAACATCCTTTTTACACAATGCAGAGGATTAACCCCTTACGTTCCACAGTGAGTATAACAAGCATGCTTTACTGCATATACAGACTGATTTTACTGTTGTGGGTTTAGTAACACTTTAATTCTGCTTTAGGAAGTTTAGGAACGCTTTCAGCAAATGCAAAAACAAATAATGTACCCAGGGGTGGACTGACCATTTGGAAACTCGGGCACTGCCCGAGGGCCCGGGGTCAGTAGGGGGCCCCATGAGAGGCCCCTGGTACCTTTTTCATAGGCTTTTTTTTTAGTCTGGGCAAGGACACAGGGGCCCCATGATCCCCTATTGCCCGGGGACCCCATGAGTTGTCAGTCCGCCCCTGAATGTACCTGTAAGACACAATAAACAAGTCAATGATGATAAAGCATCTTCAACAATAAACACCACTACCTCTGTCTTCTATATTTTCATACACAGAACTCTTCAAACCACGATTACACAAAAGATTTCCAATTTTCCCATTACTGCCTAACAAGAATACCTTATCGGCGGCAGCAAGCAGATCGTCAGCCATCTTGTCTAGGTTGGATGCTTTGCCGGTGTATATGAAACACATCATTTCTTTGAAAACATCGGGTTCGACATCCTTTATCTCCACACGATTCTAGGATTGAAAACATGATACATTTCTAAAAATAAATGTATTCCTATTATAACAGGTGAAAATGTAACAAAGCATGATATCAGTGGGTAGCTTTCTTGTCAAATGTCAGTTAAAGTATCCAATTGAATGGGGATTTGGGGATAAAAAGTAAACATTAAAATCACTTGTTTATATTACACCACTTACAGGTGAAACTCGAAAAATTAGAATATCGTGCAAAAGATCATTTATTTCAATAATGCAACTTAAAAGAAGAAACTAATATATGAGATAGACTCATTTACATGCAAAGCAAGATAGTTCAAGCCGTGATTTGTCATCATTATGATGATTATGGCTTACAGCTCATGAAAACCCCAAATCCACAATCTCAGAAAATGAGAATATTGTGAAAAGGTGCAATATTCTCGGCTCAAAGTGTCCCACTCTAATCAGCTAATTAAGCCAAAACACCTGCAAAGGGTTCCTGAGCCTTTAAATGGTCTCTCAGTCTGGTTCAGTAGGAATCACAATCATGGGAAAGACTGCTGACCTGACAGTTGTGCGGAAAACCATCACTGACACCCTCCATAAGGAGGGAAAGCCTCAAAAGGTAATTGCAGAAGAAGTTGGATGTTCCCAAAGTGCTGTATCAAAGCACATTAATAGAAAGTTATGTGGAAGGGAAAAGTGTGGAAGAAAAAGGTGCACAAGCAGCAGGGATGACCGCAGCCTGGAGAGGATTGTCGGGAAAAGGCCATTCAAAAGTGTTGGAGACTTTCACAAAGAGTGGACTGAGGCTGGAGTCAGTGCATCAAGAGCCACCACACACAGACGGATCCTGGACATGGGCTTCAAATGTCGTATTCCTCTTGTCAGGCCGCTCCTGAACAACAAACGTCAGAAGCGTCTTACCTGGGCTAAAGAAAAACAGACCTGGTCTGTTGCTCAGTGGTCCAAAGTCCTCTTTTCTGATGAGAGCAACTTTTGCATCTCATTTGGAAACCAAGGACCCAGAGTATGGAGGAAGAATGGAGAGGCACACACTGTCCAGTCCAGTGTGCCATTTCCACAGTCTGTGTTGATTTGGGGAACCATGTCATCTGCTGGTGTTGGTCCACTGTGCTTCATTAAGTCCAGGGTCAACGCAGCCATCTACCAGGAGATTTTGGAGCACTTCATGCTTCCTTCCACAGACGAGCTTTATGGGGATGCTGACTTCATTTTTCTAGCAGGACTTGGCAGCAAAAACCTGGTTCAGTGACCATGGGATTACTGTGCTTGATTGACCAGCAAACTCGCCTGACCTGAACCCCATAGAGAATCTATGGAGCATTGCCAAGAGAAAGATGAGAGACATGAGACCGAACAATGCAGAAGAGCTGAAGGCCGCTATTGAAGCATCCTGGTCTTCCATAACACCTCAGCAGTGCCACAGGCTGATAGCTTCCATGCCACGCCGCATTGAGGCAGTAATTGCTGCAAAAGGGGCCCAAACCAAGTACTGCGTACATATGCATGCTTATACTTTTCAGAGGTCCGATATTGTTCTATGTACAATCCTTTTTTATTGATTGCATGTAATATTCTCATTTTCTGAGATTGTGGATTTGGGGTTTTCATGAGCTGTAAGCCATAATCATCACAATGATGACAAATCACAGCTTGAACTATCTTGCTTTGCATGTAATGAGTCTATCTCATATATTAGTTTCAAATTTTAAGTTGCATTACTGAAATAAATGAACTTTTGCACGATATTCTAATTTTTCGAGTTTCACCTGTAGAGGCCAGCATCTCTACAAATCAAGCGGACCCCATTGTTAAGCCAGCCATAGATGGATCGAATATCAGCTGGGTCAGTAGGGACCAGACGAGATTTAATCCATCTATCAAGCAATTTTCTTTCCTTTCACCCATGATGGAAGAAAAAAAAAAAAAAGTGCCTAATCTATGGGCTGATTTAGCGGACTACTGCATGAGAAGATGTACTCTAAGGTCCGACTCTCAGATGATTCTCCTGCAATAAAAGGAAAACCAATTCAAAAGCCATGGCTAGCCGACACCCCAACAATAGGAGGACTCAGCTACATTATAGGACGGGCAGGCAGCACGGACAGCTGACTAGCTGCTGAGAAAAGTACAAATGAAACAGATAAAAGATGTTCCACAAACTGTATAAATTATAATCCCGTTTTCTTTCGGGTTTCTATTGTTTGGGTGAGAAAAGAGAACCCCTTTGAAAAGTTCATTTTTGGGTGGATACTGGCTAGACCAATCACATGCTCCATTAAAAATGGCTTTTGGGTTTCAGAATCGGCTCATTTCCTTGGGACCTGAACAAAGAGGGGCGGCAGGAGCAGCATTTACTGGAACTGATCTCCTGTATTTTCCTCCTGAAGCAGCTGGAAGCGGGGTTTTCCTACTCTCCCTCCCACCAGCATTCAGCTGCCGCAGGAGGAAAATACAGGAGATGGGTTCCAGTAAAGGCCGCTCCTCTCGTCCCTGTTCCTCTTTTTGTCTGCTGCCCGGGCCCTTTGTGTGCTCTCCTGGTCCCCCCTGTCCCCTCGCAGTGCTGCCGGCTTCCCTCCTCTCCTGCTGGCTGCTGCGGGGATCTTTTCAGGATGGACAGTGAGGGAAGGGGTACCAATCCATTTACTGTGTTCATTCATAGCTGAAGCATAGTAAACTGTGCTTGCTTATGCTTCACAGTGTAAATAAAAAGGAAGCTGCTCAGCACAGAGTGCTTCCTATTCATTCACTGTCCAGTGCAGCTGAGGGTGCAGAGAAAGGGACTGGGGAATCTCTGTGCTCAGTCCCTTTCTCTGTCCCAAAAATGAGACATCACCAAAGCCCCCCCAAGAGGGCTCCTAAACAATATTAAAAAAAAAATGATTGTAAATAATAAGAAACAAAAAACGACTGACACCATCCACTGCCCTGACACCATCCCACTGCTTGAATGACTGACACGGTCCACTTTTACAGGAGGCCAAGTTTATATTTTTACAATGACATTTGTTTTATTAGATTTTTCTTTCTATAAGCTTTCCTTACAATTTAGTTAGGCCTTGCTAGTTAATTTTAGTTAAAAAGAAGGGGTGCAGAACCCCGATGATCTTTGATCTCTTTCCTGTTGTTCAGGTAAATCTCCACCTCTCAAAGGTTGCCTAACCACGCCCTAACACATTTGCTCCATTAAACAAGGCTCTAGCTCCCCAAGCAACTGTCACGTAAACAATGCTGCTTTAACCCTTTCGCTGCCAGAGCCGTTTTTTTGCATTATTATTTTTTTTTTGTACATATTTTAAAAAAAAAAAAATCATTTTAGGCCTGAAGACTACACAAACCCCCCCAAAATTATATATTTTCTGAAAGCAGAGACCCTAGAGAAGAAAATCATGTTAGCTGCAATTTTTAATGTCACACGACATTACAGCAAAGGTCTAGGAAATGCAAAATTGCAGTAAAAAACACACTAAAGTGAATTTTAGGGCAAACAAATCAAATTTTTGGTAAAATATAAGACACGAGGTCGCGCCGAGTAAATACATACCCAACATGCCAAACCTTAAATTTGTGTGCGCCTGTGAAATGGCGACAAATTTCAGTACCCGATATTTTCCATAGGCGATGCTTCAAAAGCCCCTACAGGTCATCAGTTTAGTGTTTTACGGAGGAAGTCCTAGAAATATTGCTCTCATTCCGGCGTGTGCGGCGAGATGCAACATGATTATCGCAACCAACGTTTTCATGCATAGGTGTCCCAAGTGCGTTTACGTTTGTATGTGCGTATATTTGGGGTTGGGGTGACCTCAATTGTTTGTTTTTTTTTGGGGGGGGATGTTATGTGTTTGGATGAAACTATTTTTTTGCAATCATTTTTTTTTATTTTTTTTACTTTTTTATTGAGATATGTAGGGTCTAAAAAAAAAAGTGACAGGGGTGACCTGGAGTGACGTCATACACGTCGTCTTGTGGGTCACCGAAGGAAGGGGAAGAGAGCAGACGTTTTTCCGCTCTCCTCTCTCCCCTCCACCTGCCATGGCGCTCCTTGGACCTGGAAACATGGCGGGGGAGCGTGCATGTGGGGGGAAAGCCATTACCGGAGGCTCTGGAGTCACCCAACTGCTTCCACCTGACAGGCTGAAGTCTGCCTGTCCGCTTTATACACAATCCCGGAGGCGATTGTGTATAAAACCCCACCCCGATGTACAGACCTGGCGGTGAAAAGGTTAAGTTACCTTGTTACAAAATATCATACTGTACCTTTTTACTTTCTTCCATTTCATGCTCAAACATTGCGCTGAACACTGGAGACCGAGCTGGAAGGAAGGAGAGAAAAAAAAAAAAAAAGCACACAGTGATCTCATTGTCATCATCATCCATTACACATTGAATTCACTGACTAAGCTAATTAACATAGGTGCAGTTCTACTTGGCCAACCGTGCCTATGTATATCTATATTAAGAAAACAGAAGGCTGATGCTTTGTTCTGAGCCAAATAGATGATTCTTATTAGGTGTCCATGTGAAGCCAGACTTGAGCGTTTCTATTGGCTGCCATCCAAGGCTGCTAAATTACTGCTTCATTTGTTTGAATTCACAGCCATCATCAGATAACTGGATGCTCTCCCTTACATGCACACCCACCACATGAGCGCAGGTTTACACTCTGCCTTGGGGCATTTAACCACTTCCAGTCCGGACACTTTCACCCCCTTCCTGTCCAGGCCAATTTTCAGCTTTCAGCGCTGTCACACTTTGAATGACAAGTGCGCGGTCATGCAACACTGTACCCATATGAATTTTTTTAGCATTTTTTTTTTTTATTTATTCACCACTGGGATTTTTATTTTTTTTTGCTATATAAATGAAAAAGTCCAAACATTTTGTAAAAAAGTGTTTTTCTTATAAAAGTTTGCAAATAAATAATCTTTCTTCAT